CCTTTTAATGGAACTTTATTTTATCAATTGTATAATTTTTGGGTGTTCATTAAAAGATCTAGAAGAAATAAGGTATCATCTGAGTTCTCACAAAAACGAATAGGTATCATGTGAGAAAATAGAACGCTAATTATTATTGGGGGGCTTCATAGAACATATAATTATTCAAGGGGTGCAAGTAGTAATTATTATTACTAATTTTAATATAACTTATAATGACCGTTAGATTAGATCTACGGTAGAGAATCCTGTCGCATAGTATGTGTCTGACGCATACGAGTCGTTTCCATATATATATTTATTATTAGTCATTTAGGGGTTGGGAAAGAGGAGCCGAGTAGGGCTACCATCATTCTTTTGAAATCCTATTTAACGCCCTAACCTTACCAAAGAGACGATACTACCCCCAATAACTAAAACTTCAGTAGCTGCCCCCAATCCCTAATTTCCCTCTGCTACGCCCCTCGCCCTAGCCCTTGCTCTGCCATCGCACGGTCGCCGCCGCAAACTCGTGGGGGAAGAAGGGATTCGACGCCGGGCTCCTCCTCTGTCGTCACACAGCCGCCGGCACGAACCCTAGTAGGAAGAAGGGATTCGACGCCGCCCACCTCCTTTGCCGCCGCCCACCTCTTCGTCTTCCTCCATCTTCAATCCAACGGCGGACACCACAATCGATCGGCACTGTACAAATGACCGACGAAAAGACCCAATCCTCTAATCCGCTCTACAGAGGCAATCCTCCCATGGGTGAACGCACAAGAATTCGCGAGCGCAGCTTCCATTCCGCTAACCCTTGCTCTGCTCCGCCCGTCGACGACACGGCGGATTTTTCTCCTATTGGGTTCTTCTCGGTCGAGGAAGGAGCCGGAAGGTCGTCGCCGGCAACTCCCAAGGCGAACAACGACGACTCCCAGGGCGAACGACAGTGACGGGAAAAAATCCTAGGGCAAAATTTGATTAGAGTTGGGAATATTTTGGGGGCAAAAGCGTCCAATTACCTAAGTTAGGACGACAAATTTAAAAAATTTAGGGCGTAAATTAGTACCTCCCTTTTATTTCCCCTCGCCTATCTCTTTCTAACACGATTACGGCGACCATGTCTTTTATCGTGTTCATCAAACTTTTCATTTTGCTAACCCTAGGGTTCATGTCGCTAGTGCTTTGTCATCTTGTCTTACCGTTATTGTCATTTTCTCGAAACTTCTATCACTCGGTGAAATTAAGGATTCCTGATATGTAGTGTTCGTCTCGCCCAGAGGATTGAGGAAGGAGATGAAGAAGATAGAATTTGATTCGAATCGGATGGAGAGGTCTCCTTAATTTTTGTTTATGTATTAACGGTGCGTTTAGGACTAATTCTAGTTGGACTAGGTCTAATCATGGATTTTTGCAGGCTTTTAAATAACATTCAAAAGTGGGCTTGTACATGACCCATGCAATATTCAAAAGTGGGCCTGGAACGTGCGAGCCCATTTCATTTCTCCTGCCATATCAATTCGTGCGCCAACCCTAGTTTAACTAGCATGACTTACCCTAGTTTAACCTACACGAGTTACCATCATCATTACATATCTTCCGTAATCTTCTAACTCTTGACATTCTAGACTCAACCGTCTCCATCACACTCACGTCTCCAGACTCAACCTCCACGATCACTTTTTCTTACACCTACATTCTCTCTCTCCTTCATCTTCACCTTCCCCTTGTTCCTTCTTCCTCCAGACTCCATGGCAAACAAAAGTAGATCGTTTGCAAAAATGAGGATACTATCTCTATCAAACGAAGACTGCCGATCCACCGCTAGTCTCGGTGACTATCTTTCATTTACAAGCAAAACCGCAATTGTGGCCGAGTACGAGTTCATCCACCTAAGTCCTTTCCCTCCAAAAGTGAAGACGTTAATAAAAAATCTTGGCTGGGAAAATTTCTTTGTTCTCCGGAGTCGAGGAAGCACAAGTTACTGCCCCCATGTGGTTACGAAGTTCTACCACAATCTACAGCTTTCTGGTCCCTGTGATTCTCATATGGTGTCGATCTTCCTCGGACATAGAAACTGCTTTCAGCCTCATCAATTTGCGGAGATCCTTGATCTTCCCGCTGGAGGACACCCCATTGAGAGCAGAAGCGATCTTGGGCGGCTGTACGATTTTGAGTTTGAAGTTGAAATGGCGAAACTCACGAAGGGGAGCATCCAGGCTTCTTTCCTCCCATATCCTCTTCGATTCCTCCACTGGTTGATCGTCAACTGCTTCCTTCCATGGTACCGTGGTCATTCCATTATTCGTAAACTTGACTTGTTTATCCTTGTGCAAGCTCAAAGAGGTGTTCTTGTTAACCTCACATCTCTCATGTGCCTGAACATGGTTGAGGCTGCTCCCAAAGGGGAAAACTGGTATACTGCCTTTCCCTATGCCACCTTCGTGACCACCTTTCTTGAAAGGGTTGGGATGGATATGAGCGTTTATATTAAGGAGGACCAGTGCGCTTATTTGCTGGTGTACCGTATAGCCGAATTGACCAATACTTTTATTGAGAATTGGCATACGGAGCATCAAGAGACCCCTGAGGCCTCCTCAAGTAAACGTCCTCGGCTTACATGAGAGTTGATTGATGCAGGGCGGGGTGGAGCGTTGGAGCAGCAAAGGGGCCAACAATGGATGTCTTCTGTTAACAAGTTTACTAATTCTTTGTTGGGTTTTTTTTAGTCTTTTATCTTTTCCTTATTCTCCAGCACTCAAAACTGTCAGGTACTGAGGGGAGCCAGTACATCATCTGACTAGGAAAGTCTCATATTTTGATTTCTGAAATGTCCAGACCTGGATTTTTCTATGCATGCAGTATTTTTCGAATTTGCCATGGCTAGGATCCCTAAGACAGGTGGCGAGATGCAGTAATGGTCATCTCCAATGGTGCAATTTTTGTGACTTGCAAGATGATGTGGCAAGGAGGTGCGATTGCATCTTTAAATTGCTATGATGCGAGAAGCTATTGCAAGGGTGCAAATTTGCATAATGTGCAATTTTTCTTGCAATTCAAATGGACCCGCTGGTGGGCCATTTTTTACTCTTTTTTAAAGATTTTAGAAGATGGAGATGATATATAAATTTTTTAGTAGTGGTAAATTAATATGTTGGTCCCACTCATTGAAATTACATTTAGATTTCATTGTTGTAGAGAGGATGAAGTTGAGAAGTGGTGTTTTCTCAAAATTATAGAAGTGCAAGTAGGGACTACCTATGAAATTGCAAATGAATTTCATTGGGGGAGATTTTAATCCGCTTTTGTTCTAAGCAGTTCCAATTAGGTCGAAGAATGTGTTACTTATTTCATCTTCAATTTTTAATGGTTTTAGAAAATTATGGTTTTATTTATATTTGGTCACAAGTATAGTGATGATGATAGGCGTGAATAGTATGGATTTTAAATGGCTTGATTATAATAATTTTTTATCTATGGTGATTTTTTCCCCTTTTTCATCAAGACTCATGCTTCTTTTACTCCCCCGGTGAATCTATCATATGCTTCGTTTATAGTAAAATACCCTTTTAATTATACACAATAAAGAATCCATTAATTATGTAAGCCTTTTTATTGTATTTATTAATACAATGAATTATCTCACTAAAAGGGGAGTGCATACGTCGTTGGTGGAAATTCAAGGAATGGAAGCGTTTCCATATCATAGGAACATTAAATTAATTACCTAAGAATTTTCTATTTGCCTTGTACGGGTTTCCATCATTAATTATGCTCACTGGGAACCAATCAGTTTTACTTTTTGGATTAACTATACATGAATGCAAATTTAATAAGACGAGGGCAATTCGGAACGAAGTGGAATGATATGATCTCAATTAAACCTCTCTACAAGATACAATGGCTTGAAACAGAAGCAACCTCACTCACAAGTTGGAAGCTCGAATTTTTGTCAAGTCCCTTTGCCATTTCGGGTAACTCACTTTGGAAGCCTGTTCGTCACGCATGGCTCGATGAAAATGAGATTTTATTGATTTGTATTGAACCTGGGATATTTGTGAACACCAGGGATTACTTGGGAGCCGGAGATCAAGTCCAGAAGGTCCCTTTTCAGGTTGTCCAAAAGTGTAACTGGAAAGCTGGAAATTGCCACTTGTTGGCTAAGGTAGTAGCCAGGTTAAAGCTAGATACTTTGAGACTCGATTCGGAAGGGATGGATGTCCGAAAAGTTAATATAGTTTCCACAAATAGTCAATATAGTTTCCACAAAAAAACAAACCAAACCAAACCAAAAAACAAATATAGAAAGCATTCACCAAACCAAACCAAAAATGGTTGTCAATCATCTTAAAAAACAAAACATAACATGGTTGTCCATCATCTTGAAAAAAAAAACGCAAAATCAGGTTGTCGTTGGGCTCTTTGACTGGGTTTCCTTGTGCTCTTCTCTTTCCTTTTTCCTCCTTTCATGGGCTTTCTTATACTCTTCGACTGCAGCTTCAACTTGAGGTGAAATTGTTCTTGCTTCCGTGAGCACCATATGCCTTATGTAGTTCATTGGCTCTCGAACAAGGTACAAAGCGATCTGCATCCTCCTCACTTGAGTGCATGGCTATCAACATCAACAAACATGGTGCTTAACGCATGATTCAAAAATAACAATCAAGTGTGTTTTCTAATATGCGAACTAGAATTGTCTTTACCCAAATATAAGAGGAGTCCCAGCTTGCGCCATACATCCACATGCAGACCCAGACTCCTCTGTCAGACCTACATAAAATGAAAGCATTGCATGATAAACAGGTTGATAAGCCATCGTTTAATATCACACAAAATGGACATAATTACCGATGTAGTTGTTCTTGATCCTTTGAAGGATTTGTGTACAAAAACTCCGCAATCCTTGGGGGCGACAATCCCGGACCTTGTTCACGATAGAGAATCTTCCACAAGGCTTGCATAAATCTCATATGTACAAATTAAGAAACATTTGTATACATTTGTATTTTGAAGGGAGTTTTATTGAAAAAAAAAGAATGCTTCGAGATGCTCTCTCCTCTCTCTTCCTCATAATTTCGCTCGTGGGTAGGTGGCTATCTAGGGTCGCCGCCGTTGTCCTCGCCGTGTGTGTGCGAAATCAATTCCAGGAGACCTGGCTCCCGAAGCTGGCCTACCCTGTTCGGAGTGAGGCCCAGGAGAAGGGGAGACAAGAAGCCCCTCTTATCGTCAGTCGCCCTTTAAGAGTTTATAGGGATTTTGGCTGGCGTGGAGAAAGACGGAACCGTGTGAGGAAGCGATCGCTCCCGATTGCTGTCGAAGATCATCAAAATTTCATGGCTCGTCCGTGGAAGAGAAGCAAGCAGGGGCCAAGGATTCTATGGCGATTTTGGCTCCCCCTCTCGTCAGATTTGGATGAAGAAGTTTCTGAGTTTGCCTCATTCGCGGGGAGAGAGACCCAGAGCACCACACCTAAAGTAAAGCAGGCTGGGTTCTGTGGTCAGAAAATTCAAAGTATCCCCTTTGGGGGTGGGACTCGTCCCGGGACAGTATGTGGTGTGGAAGATGGCTCTGGCCATTTGAATTCCAATGGCAATGTTACATATAACAGCAAAAACGAATTCGCTAAAGTGATTCTAACTTGAGAAGCCTCTGGTAGTAATGGTACTCTCGAGATAGTTCCAAAACAGAGGAAGCAGGTGAGACGATTTCGACACAGTATTGCAAGCGACTCCGGCAGGGATATGGTCGGTTGTCCTGGTGGCGCCAATGATCGGAGACTTCGGGGTGGAAGGCGAATCTGCCGGGGAGAGAGGGGTGTTTTGTTTTCCAAATCCCTATTCTGGTTAGGCGAGATTGCGGCGGCAAGCTCCAACCGCAAAATCTTCTAATTCCCCCCCAGGAGAGAACTCCTAATCCAAAACATACTCTGCCTGAGGAAAATTACAGAGGGACACGTCTCTTTGGGGAGAGGTCGAGGCTCAAGCATTATAAATTGGGACCGTTTGCTAATATGCAATATCAGAATTCTTTGTGGTTAGCGACTCGTCCAGAGAAGAGAAAACCTAAAGCCATACTGCTGTTTGATCCCGCTGCCGAGCTCCGCTCCTCTGCTACTGCCGATCAGCTGCTCTCTGCGCGAGTGCCCTTGGCAGGTAAAGAGACCCCTTCCCAAATAAATTTAAACGGCTCAATGATTGATCTCGATGCACTCTCGAGTGCCTTGCCAACGGAGGGAGAAGTCAATTTGGGAATCACATATGTCTCCAAACCTCTCATCGCAGTTGAGAGTGATAGAAACGTAGTCGGGCAGGGTGTTTTTTCTTTTCTAATGCCTTCGGGAAACATGTGAATGGTTTGGCTTCGGCTATACATCTAAACTATAGGCTTCTTGCTAATAACAGCACAATAAAAAGTCCTCTTACCACACTATCTCCCACTCCAATGAGAGAAACGACCCTACCTATTGCGTCTAACGATTTATCTATCAATGATTGTCAGGTGAATAGGATGTCGCGGATTGCTGAGGATCAAGTGGTCGAGTTCTCGCTGGAAGAGGTCCAATCTGTGAGGTATCGCACTTCTAGGACCCTTTTGGGGGACTCTTTTCGGAGGCCAAGTTCACTCCCACAGAGCTTAAGGAGGGACTGGTTGAGGCATGGCGGGTTAAAGGAAACCTTAGGGTTTCACTCACTCAATTTGGCTTGTTTGAGGTGGTTCTTCCAAGCAATGAAACAAGGGTGTGGGTCCTGAGAAGAACGCCCTGGATAGTCAAGGACAGGATTTTCCATCTCCGGTCCTGGACACCATCCATTTCGAGGCTCACCTTCGATGAACTAGCCATTGCCCCCTTTCGAGTTCAACTCTGGAATGTGAAAGATGATTGCTGCACAAAGCAGTTTGGCCAGAAAATGGCAGCTGGGACCATTGGTCAGGTCCTGGAAGCAGATGTCTTTGCGTCCAAGGAGACGGGCGAGTGCTTTGTGAAAGTGCATGTCCTCATCGATTTTACAAAACCTCTGCGGTCACAAATCATGGCGGTCAGCGAAGAGCTTGGTCATTTCTGGGTGAATCTCAAATATGAGTGAGTTCTTACCAACTGTCTGTTTTCACTGTGGGCGAGTGGGGCACTCCAAGCGCGACTGTATTTTTTATCCCCCTTTGGGGAAAGAACGCTTTGGTCTGCATATGACAACAAAGAAGCTTGGACGGAAGATGTACTTGGAGGAGGATAACTATCCTAAGTTTCGAGATACAAGCAAGACTGTGTGGGTTAATAGGAATGTCCAAATGCAGAAGGTGGGGAATGCAAGACCTGTTAGGGGACATGTGGAGGAGGGAGCACGAGAACCTCCTAGGAACGCCCAGGTTCCAGCAGTGCACCATGCTCGACCTAATGAATCAGAAGGTCATGCCAGTAAGAAGACACAGCCTAGGCTGTAAGAGCCAGCCTCTCAGGTGGGTGGTGCTCGTGCTAGCCCGAAAAGGTTTAGCCTCAGGAAATCTCCTCGGATTAAGCATGGTGGTGGGGTGAAACAATCCCAGCAGAAGCTGTCGCCTAGAAAGCATTCCACTCTTCCTCGCCAAGACGTTAAGAGCCGCCATCAGCCTCTTAGGCGCATGAAACAGGGTCCCCCCCCCCCCCCCAAAAGTTGATGGTGGATCCTTTGGAGGTGGTCCTCGAACACTCTCGAAGGCGTCGACTCATTTTGTAGGAGGAATCTGAGGAGGAGGAGAATGTGGTCCCTACACCTAAACTAAAGAAGGATGCTCGGCTGCCATCCAAATCTGTGACCCAGTCAGGGGGCGCGGTGTCTAGGGTTCGCCCACACTTAAGAAAAGGAGGTGCTAGCATTCCCCTGCCTGTATCCAATCAGGATGAGGGAGATACTGCACCTGGTGCTTTGCAGGACCTGGAAGATAAGGAGATTGGTGTGACTATTGTTGAACCCATTTCGGTGGATCAACAGCAGGACTCTGACTCTGATGAAGATCCGTCGCTGGGAGGTCTTCACTCTTTTGAAATCAAGCGTCGTTCGCCTGCTGGTGCCTCGATGACGTCCTCTCATGTCATACAAGGACGTGTACACTAAGTGGTGGAGGCTTTTGAAGCGGGGCTTAGCATTGGGCAGGTTGAGGAAGTTCCCTGCAAGGGGGTGCACTTGAGACTGAATTAGTACTGATCTAATCTAGTGGATCCAACCATGGAAAATCTCAAGCGTGTGATCGGTGAGGTGGAGGGTGAGATGGGAGACCCTCCTACCCCAAAGAAGCAATTTGTGGAATCAGCGGATGATCTGGAAAAGGTGAAGGAAGCCAGCCTCGAGTGGCCCCCTGCGGATAAATGAGGCTTCTGGCCTGGAATGTGAGGGGAATTGGGCTTTCCCTCACCTTCCAAACTGCTTTAGGGCTTGTTCATTCTAATAAACCGGATTTAGTGTTTTTCTCTGAAACACGATCGAGCCGGCGTGTAGTGTCTCGTCGTATGCGGGGTTTAGGTTTTGATGTTTCGCATTGTTTTTTTGTTGATGCAGTCGATGCATCGGGTGGGTACTAGTAGCTTGGGCCCCCGGAGTTGACACTTCGGTGTTTTGTCATTCCAATTTTTACATTTGTTCGCAAATTAATGAAGGAGACTTTTCTTATTTGGTGTTTTTTGTCTACATTAGTTGTAATGTTGCTGTTCGGGCCACCCAATTGGCTCATTTGTGTGATGTTTGTGCGAATAGCCTTCTCCCTTATGTCGTCATCGGCGATTTCAATACTACCCTACATGAGGGAGAAAAAGATGGGGGTCGGGCTTGGAATGCGGCTCAAGCCATTAGCCTTCGGGATTTTGTTCATGATTTGGGGCTCCATGACCCAGGCTACTAAGGGGATCAGTTCACTTGGACCAACAAGCGTATGAGGGCGGCTTGCATTCGTGAACGTCTGGATAGGGCTCTTTGCTCTCAATCCTGGATAGATTCTTATCCTGATTCTTTGGTCAAGCATTTCACGGACCAGGGTTCGGATCATCGTGCCCTCCTTCTCGCTGATTAACCTTATACTCGGAGTAGTCGGCCTCTTTTCAGGTTTGATGCTCGTTGGGCGGATAATCCAGAGGTTAGGGCTATGGTCCATTATGTCTGGCAGGAGGAGATACAAGGAACCCCTATGTTTCGACTATGGGAGCGCCTAAAGAAACTCCGTCATCTTCTGTATGATTGGAGCAGGGCGGGCACGACTAATTCCCTACGCAATTTCAAGACACTCCAAGCCGAGATTGATATGATTAAGTCTCTTCATCCGGTGGATTGGGATGCGATCAAGACGTTGGAAGCAAAGCTCTCCCGCCAATGGGAAGCGGAGGAGGTTTTCTGGCAACAGAAATCAAGAGTAAAATGGCTAAAAAAAGGAGATCAGAATTCTGCTTACTTCCATACGGTCACAAGGGCGAGGCGGAAAAGGAACTATGTTTCGGGGCTTCGAAATGCGGAGGGGGAATGGGTCACTGAGGAATCCGGGAAGGCGTCTATTGCCACCAATTTTTACCAGACCCTGTTTACTTCGGAAACTCAGGTTCCTAATATGGTTGAGAGGGTGGCGAGTCTGCCGATTGCCCATAGTGTTACTCCGCAAATGAATGCGCAATTGACGGCGGAGGTTTTGCCTAATGAGGTTCGGAGTACGGTCTTCTCCATGGGATCGAAGCAGGCCCCGGGATCGGATGGCTTCACGGGAAAGTTTTTTAAAGCTTTCTGGGATATTGTGGGTACTTCGGTGGTAGAAGCAGTAGTTTCCTTCTTTACCTCGAGCCGGATGCTGCGGAGCTTTAACCATACCTGGCTCACTTTGATCCCTACAGTGGAATCGGTGGAAACAATTAGACAACTGCGTCCGATTAGCCTTTGTCAGTTTGTTTACAAGGTGATTACCAAAATCATGGCTGCAAGGCTGGCTAGTTTGCTCCCTGAGATCGTGTTGGAGGGCCAAAATGGGTTTATCAAAGACCGGCAGATTATTGATAACATCCTTATTGGACATGAAATAATGCATTATCTGAAAATAAAAAAGCAAGGGAAGAAGGGGTACATGGCTCTGAAGGTTGACATGGAAAAGGCCTATGATAGAGTCGAATGGCCCTTCCTGCTTGCAGTTTTGGATAAGATGGGTTTTAATTCAGTCTGGCAAGGATGGATACATGAATGTATTCGATCCTCCTCCTTCTCGGTTCTAATGAATGGAACGCCCTCGGGATATTTTACTGCCTCTAGGGGCCTTCGTCAAGGGGATCCGCTCTCTCCTCTCTTGTTTGTACTTTGCACGGAGGGGTTTGCAGCCCTCCTCCGAAAGGCGATCACGGAGAAAAAATTGGAGGGGGTGAAAGTAGCTCCTCGTGCTCCAAGAATCTCGCATCTGTTCTTTGCAGATGTTTCTTATTTATTTTTGCGAGGTTCTTTGCAGGAGTGCGAGAATTTAATTGAGGTACTAAATGAGTATGAGGAACTGAGTGGTCAACGCGTTAATCTGGAGAAGTCGGCGGTGTGCTTTAGTAAGAATATTTCAACGCCAGATCGGGAGTTCTTGGCCACGATTCTAGGGGTTGGTGCGGTGGGGGTCCACGATAAATATTTGGGGCTTCCAACGCTGGTTGCACGATCCAAAACGGATACATTTAGATATTTGGAGGCCAAACTCCTAGAACGGCTTCAGGGGTGGAAACAAAGGACTTTGTCGTGGGCTGCTAAGGAAACTTTGATTAAATCCATAGCGTTGGCTCTGCCCCTTCATGTGATGTCCTGTTTCCGTCTCCCCCTGGCTCTTTGTCGGCTTTTAGACAAGCATGTGGCCCGTTTTTGGTGGGGTGCGGAGGATGGTAGTCCCAAGATCATATGGGTGTCCTGGCGTAACATGTGCAGGAGTAAGCATGATGGGGGGATGGGATTTTGCCAGTTCGAGCATTTCAACCAAGCTCTTTTGGCTAAGATTGGCTGGCGTATTCTCAATGAACCTCATTCACTTATTGC